ACTTCATAGATGTTTCTGATTCTCTTCCCAGTGAGAATGACTTCATTTGTGGAGATGTTCTTGAGAGATGCCATGTCCTTGCAGAATTCCAAGGAGTAACCTTTATCACAAAACTGACTTATGCTAAGAAGGTTATAATTGAGTCCTTCAACATAAGATACAGCTTGGATGGTTAGTCCCTTGTACACCAGATTTCCTAGCCCTTTAGTAAGGCCGAAATCATTGCTTCCTCCAAAAGTAACTCTTGGACCATCATAGGGAATTAGATTGCTCAAAAGGCTCGCATCACCCGTCATGTGTCTTGAACAGCCACTGTCTAAGTACCAGACATCTGGGTACTTAGCGGCTTCCTGCATTAGGAGGAGGAAGATTTTGGTACCCAATTAAGTTTGGGTCCGGAGTAGTTAATGGTGTGTGTCCCTACATCAAGTTTGAAGTTGCAGGGAATTTTCCTTGCAGCTCTAAACTTGTTGGGATTGTAATCATAGTTATTGGCATAAAACTTCCTACGTGCAGGAGGTGCTATTTCCTGTTTCCTCCTAGCAAACCTAGGTTGATAAGACCTATAGTTTTGTCTAGGTTGTGCATAGTGTGTCCTGTGTTGGTTATAAGCATACTTAGGTGGCACAAATAGCTTCTGGGGTGGAGGGTGACTATATCTTGGCATAGTTCTCCACTCAGAATTTCTTGGCAAACTCCTGTCTACCCCATAATGAGTATAGCCTTGTGTATAATGGGGGTTAGAAGGTTTTCTTCTGAAATTATTTCCTTTTTGAGGTCTGTCCAGCTTCCTATAGTTCTTAGGAGGGACTACCTTTTTGGGAACTTTTGTTGGTTTCTCCTTTTCCTTCCCTTTCTGCTTATTAGGTTTGGCAGTAGGTTTAGGAGGGATGAAAGTTGTCTTCCCTTTCCTTTTGGAACTAGAGGAGTCAAACCCAAGTCCTTTGCGACCCTTATGTTTGGTCGTTTCAAGCAGCTTGTTCACTGCTTCTTGGGACTTGAGTATCCCTAGCTCTTTTTTAAGGGATTTCACCTTTTCAGAGAGAGATTCATTTTCAGTCTTGAGTTGAGTGATCTCATTCAGTTGACTTTTCCGACTTTCAGTCAACTTGAGATTCTCTTCACTCAATAGTTTGTTCTCTTCTGTTAAGGATGTGTGTTTGAGATTTATCTCCTCAAAGTCTTTCATCATCTTTTTGAACTGGTCAAAAAGATTTTCAGAAGTTGGTGTGCTATAAGAAGATGAGCAGGAGGTTTGTGAGGTTACCTCTTGATCAGCATCATCTTTGGCCATTAGGCAGAGAGTGTCATCTTCTGACATAGTCCACCTATCCTCATGGTTGGACTTCTCAACTCTGCGCTCCATGCAGACGAGGGCTTCTTCATCCGAGCTTGAGCTGGATGACTCGTCACTTTCAGCAGCAACCATTGCTTTCTTTTTCTTCTCGATCCTTTCTCTTTCTCCGTACTTCTCCACTTTTGGGTACGGGCATGCTGACTTCCAGTGGCCAGGCTTCCTGCAGTTATAACATAAATAAGATTCAGGAGGGGAGTCACTTACCTGTGGCTTTCCCTTGGATGGCCTTCTGATTGAATCAGCCTTCTTGAAGAACTTCTTGAACTTCCGGAATTGTTTGACCATCATGGCAAATTCCTCTTCGTAGTTCTCCATTTTTGAGCTTGACGGCTGGCT